GGCCCAGCCGCTGGACGGGCCCCTGGAGGCAGAAGGGCAGCCGGGAGCAGGAAGCCCCTGCCCAGCAGGCCCTGGGCAGGGTTGGCTTGGGCTGGCTTGTAACTGGAATTTGGTCTCTCAGCTGCTTTTCTCAAACTCCTCTACCTGCTGGTCCATCTTTTTCCCCCTCTAATCCGTGCTGTCCATTCTCATCCGGGCCAGCCCCGTGGGGCTACTTAAATGTAAAATTCCTAGAAATGGAATAACACAGCAAACCCAGTCCCTCGGCTGCGCTAGCCACATCCCACGTGTTCCCCCCTGCCTGAGCCGCGTTCTGCTCACTCTGGCTAGGCCCAGTGGCGATGGCTGGTTCACGGCCCTCGGGGGACGTCCCGCTGCTGCGGGCTGGAACTGGCCCAGCTACAGCTTTATTGACACAGCACTGTGAAGCCGAGCCAGACTCTGGGGAGTCTCTGCTGCTCCCCCTGATTGGGGCCGGCCTGAGCCAGAACGTGCAGAACTTGGAGTTAGACACGAAGGATCAGGGCCAGCAGGTGGCGTGGTGGTTACGTCGCTGGACTGCCACATGGCCAACCATGGTTCAAGTCCCAGACTCAGTGGCTTCAAAATCACACCAGGCCTTTGTGTGTGTGTGCCCAAGATCCCAAGAGGAGAATGGAGGAAAAGGGACTGCAACATGGCCATCCCCCCCGGGGGGGGGGTGATGTCTCACTTTCACTCTCACTGTCTCCGTCTCTCTTCCTGGCAAGTACGTGAGCCCTAGGGCAAAAATCTCTTAAAAATAGAAGAAAAAGTAAAAGGGAAAAAAGGATCTGGAGTTAGAAATGAGTTCAGCATTAGGACAGTGAGAAAGAAGGGCAAGCAGAGCTCAAGTCCGCCCTGCTGTGGTCTCCATCAGAAGCCTTTGTGGGGAAGGGACCCACGAGGTGGTACAGGAAAGGGGCCCTGTCTGCCTCAGACTCCCAGCCCTAATCCAAGCCCTAACTCGCCTCCTTTTGGCCTCAGTTTCCTCGGTTCTCTCTCTCTCTTTCTGCACACATACCTTTCTTTTCTCTGGCAAACTTAACATAGTGATTACTATATTCCAGGAACTATTTAAAATGCATTCAAAATAAGTTCATGGGGCCCAGCAGGTTGACATGGTTGTTAAGGCCCTGGACTCCCACATGGCCAACCATGGTTTGAGTCCTGGACCTGGTGGCCTTAAAATAACACTGGGCGTGTGTGTGTGTGTGTGTGTGTGTGTTCAAAATCCCAAGAAAAAGATGGAAGAGAAGGGACTGCAGCATGGCCAATCCCCGTGAAGGTAATTTCTCACTTTCTTTCTCTGGATCTCGAGTGAGCACTCATACCCTATGACAAAAAAAAAAAAAAAATAGATTAGAGCTCATAACAATCCTATAAGGTTGCTAAGTTACAGCTCTCCTTTTTTTAAAAAAGGTGTTTTTTCGGTTTCATTACAGAGGTGTGTGCACTCGCCAGAGAGAGAGAAGGGGGGAGCATCCCACAATGGGGCTTGGTCACGCCACGATCCTTTCTCCTCGTCCCTCCGTCCCCTCAGGATCTGGACACGCACACGCACCAGCTGCTTTTCAGGCCACCAGGATGGAACTGCAGTGGGCCATGCGGGCTCCGGCTCCTCAGGTACTGTCCTTTACCACCACACGTGAGGCCAGTCCTGCAGCCCCTGTTTAAACATGTAAAAACTGGAGGGACCAGCAGGTGGCGTGGTGGTTACGGCGCTGGACACTCCCACATGGCTGACCAGGATTCGAGTCCTGAATCTGGTGGCTTGCTTTCTCACTTCCTCTCTCTCTCACTCTCACCCTCTGTCTGTCTCTGGTCAAATGAAAAAATCAATGGATGAATAAATAAAATAAATAAATAAATTATTATTTTTTAAAAAATGTAAAAAACTGGGGCTAGCAGGGGGCATAGTGGTTAAGGTGCTGGACTCCCACATAGTTGACCATGGTTCGAGTCCCAGACCCAGTGGCTTGAAAATCATGCCGGGTGTGTGTACAAGGGTGTCCAAGCTCCCTGGAGGAGAAGGGATTATGGTGTGGCCATTCCCCCGAGGGGTGACTTCTCATTTTCCTGTCACTGTCTCTCTCCAGAGAGTGCATGGCAAAAACCTCTAAACAAAAAAGGCAAAAACTGAGGTACAGAAAGGTTGAGCAATGTGTCCAAGGACACAGGGCGATTAAGTGAGGAGTCAGACACCAACCTGGCTCCAGCCAGCAGAGGTGGGAACAATGCCCTCGCCAAGGTGTATTCAAAACATGTAACCGCCACCTCGGGCTGGCCTGCTAACCATAGCTGCCATCGGCTCCGGTGCATGAGCAGAGTCCAGAAGGCTACCTGCTCATCCAGAGCGGGTCTCTTAGTTCAAGACCACGGGAGGTCTGGGGCTCCTCGTGGGAAGGATGGTGATGGGGCCACTCAGAACTCGGGGCAGAGAGCACCACCATGGAGCCAAGGAGATTGCGCACCCACTGAGACGGCCAGCCTGGGCGTGGGACCGGACACAGCCAAGGTCAGCCTTCTCATTCTTACTGGCTGAGACCGTGGGTGCTCCAGGAGCCCGCCTGCATCACCGCAAAGAACGCTGCTTCCCGTTCTTTCGATCTCTCTACTCCTGTGATCCGCCTCACAGGAAAGCATGAAGACTGAGTGAAAACACCTGCCACTGGGGTACCTAGCACAGTGCCTAGCACACAGTAGGTCTTCAAGGTGGCCTCTCTCTCCTCCTTCTCTTCTAACCAGGGTGCTGGCCAGGTACTCTCCCTGCACAGAAGCTGGCGGAGCTAAGGCTGGCCATGACCTGCCGAGGAGCTGCCAGGGCTCCGAAGGG